TTGCACTAGCGTCTCTGTCAGACGGAAAGCTGAGTTCGACTGTAGTGGGGCCGGTAGTGTTTCTGAAAAAATGGAGATCAACAGTCTTGGAAGGAAGGATGAAAAGATAACAAGCGTGAGCAGTCCACATATCCTGGACGTCTTCGATTCCATTTTCTGGTTTGTGGTGAGCGGCACAATCTGGTTTTTCTTACGCTTTCGTACTACATGATACACCAAGATGTTATAACAGGCAATGATTATCACACAAATTACCATCAAAGTACTTTCAATGGTAATCCATATTTCGACGATCTCCATATCTACCTTCGTTTCCATCAGAATAGTAGCGGGAAGGTCTGTAAACACGGTTAGCAGCCAAACAAATATGGAGAGTTTTATGAGAAGGCTCTTTGAAACGAATACCTGATATTGAAGGCCTTTCCGTATCGCTAAGTTTCTCTCCCATGCAATGAAAGTCAAATGATACAGAGACAATACGGAAAGGAAATAAATAACGGAGATATTAGCCAAGTCTAAATCACAAATATGTTCAACGGGTATCTGGCGGAGAATTAGCACGTCCACCGTTGCAGATAACGGCATCGATACAGCGCCAACGAGAAGATCTACAAGGGCGAGGCTCCTGAGCAGAATATTGGACAATTTTTGCAGGTCTCTCCGTTTTACAACCGTTACGATTACTAACAGATTCATAAGAATTGTAATGGGAGAGAGAAGTATTATGCTTCCTACTATAATCCAAGGGAAGGTAGTATTTTCTAAGTCCCAAGTGAAAACTTCATATTGCGAGCAAAAGAACACTGACCTATTGGTGGGGAAATGGTTGTTTGCTGTTTCTCCATGGTTTGGTTCCATCCTAAGGCCTGTTTGGTGACTTTAACGCTTATCGGGTCCTTGATGGTCGCTCAGTGAGAAGCTCCTGAGAAATGACAGCAAGCGTAGTGAAGATTGTCATAAATACGGCAATCTTTTGATCACCATTACATTTTTCTTAAGCCGCTTGTTGTCACCCCATCTGTGCAGAAGGATTTTTCTCACACGGAAGACAGATATGTGAAGTGCAGAGATTACTGGTCATAAACACCGTCGTTCTTGGTTTGGGTGCTTTCAGTTAATAGAAACAGCCAGATAGTGGACTAATAAAAAAACTACTGTTAATGGTAAACAACTCTTCACCGCAGTGAAAGTGGCTAGTGGTGGATATTTACCGAGCTGAGAAACGGTGAGGTGAATATCTACCGCCACCGACACTGAAGTACATAGTTGTTTTAGATACAATAAAACGATGAAATAACATAGCTCGAAAAGATAATTTTATATCATATATTGCTACAACGATTACAATGTTTTTGGGCGTTAATCCCTTGGGAGTTGCTCGGAAGTGAATGGCAATAGATATTGGGAGTTTAAGTAGCCAATCAGAGCGCGCCTTGAACACTGTCTGCTGTTTTAGTATATACGAATTGTTATTTTTTAAAATTATTTTTTTTAATCTTTTGGCTTCTCTTCTCTGCCCTAATAATTCTTTCTGCAAGTTTTCGCATTTTCGAATATCTGGCTTGATAAAGACTGAAAAACGCGCATAAGGCATTTTGGTAACATACTGCTCTAGATGCTGTCAAAAAACACAAAATGAGAAACGTATTTGAAAGCTTCACCCATTTCTCACTGTTTGAATTTCAAATATAAAATGAAAGTGATGAACTTATTGCATTATACAGAAAACACTATAGATACCAGACAGATAGAATCTAATTTTGTGAACTATCAAGGAACAATACATGCATTGTTTTATGTCTGCGAGGTTTTGCAGGGAATTCAACGGAAATCAGATTTTGGTCAGGGGTTCTCTGTCGTTTTCACCAATTTAGGCGCGTGCTTGTTTACTTTTACGCTTGCAGTGTCTTTACGTGACGTTCGATTAGTTTTAAACTCCTGAAGATATAGGGGCAAGATTCGTGAAGATTCTCTTAATACCGCAATCTTGGATCACCTGTGCAGGTTTCTAAACCGCCTGTATTAGCCCATTTGTGGGAACGGCTTTTTTCACACGAAAGATACGTTTGTGCAATGCAAAGATTA